AGCTCTTTATCGCGCCTCTCGCGTCGCTTGATCATTTACAACTACATCCAGAAATAAGTACTTTGTGTTTAGAAAAGTGAGCAAACACAAAGTCGTCAGGGAGATGGTCCAAACTATCAAGCTCATTTCAAACTTTGGACATCTCTGTTGGGTAAATGATGGATGGATGGATGAAGGATGCTTGGAGGGAGGGAACAAAGAAAGGACAGATGGATGGATGAGTGTGGTTGATGGATGACTGGAGGGAAGGAGGGTGGAAAGGGTGGATGATAGTTGGGGAGATAAATTGTGGGACAGATGAATTGATGATTGGAGGGAGGGAAGGGGAGAGGAAAAGATATATAGAGGGATGAATTCCGAGTAGATGACGGATGGCGGTGGAATAAATTGGTGGTTGGAGAATGGCGATAGGAGTACTGATGGATGGATGAGGTTAGAATAAATGACAGATGCAGGGAGGGATAAATTGGTGGGTGGATGATGGATGGGTAAATGGATGGACGAATTGATTCAGGAAAGGGAGTGACTGAAGGATGGAGGGATGGATGAAAGATAAATGGAAGGAGGGATGGATGCTGATATATTGGTGAGGAGATTGATGATGGAATGGATGGATGGATGAGGGGAGATGGATGGCGGACGAAATGGGGTATGCAAGAATGTATTGATGGATGGATAAATGCATGATGTACGGATGAATGTATGGGTAAAGGGATGATACAGGGATGAATGGACGATGGAAGGATTGGTTGATGGATGGATGGGGTTGGGATGTATTGATGGATGATCAATGAATGAAGAAATGGCTATATGTACGGGATATTTATGTGTATGCATGTATGTACGTATGTATGCATGTCATTGCTGCTTCCTGATAGTTGTCCTCGTAGTTATGTAAATGCTTGTACATCCCGCATCAGGCAGCGTTTGAATAAAAATTAATTTGACCGTCAAATAAGGAGTAGAGAGGAAGGATGTGGAAAACGCTGCATTCGATTCAAACATCATATTTTTACCTTTTAGATATTCAAAGTGACTTAAAAAAAAAAAAAAAAAAAACGACAGCCAAGGCCATCGTCTGCGTTTCCATCCTGTTGAAAAGAGCTGTTATAAAACTGTGATTGACTGCTCTTTGTTTCATCTTTACTCCAGATCAAAGACAGTAATTTTCAAAGGACATTTGGTTTGCTCGCCCACCTGATGTTTTGTTTGACTTCAGAATATGCGGAGCTTTACTGTACCACCAAAAAAAACCCGTGAAAAAAAAGTTGCTTCACAACAAACGTGCCTGGACAGAAAGTGACGACGAGCTGGCAAGGAACGCACTCGCATCCGTTTTAAACTGCACGCCGAACCATAGGACGCCGATGAACCCCCAGGACTCAGCAGCCCCCCCACCCCCCGCCCCCATGACCCGTCACGAATGCCTACGATAGACTGTGAGAAAACTTAACATGACTTGAATACACAGAAAAAAATAAAAGGGCAAAATCCCACCGTGCATTACGTTTTGGACAAACTTGGCTGCCGCAGCAGCCGGAAAGTGAGTGTTAGCGTAGTATTATGGGAAGTCTGGCATGTTTCTAGATTAGATTAAAGCAGTCGGAATATAGAGAGGGGGAGCCCTCAGAGAATCTATTCATGACAGCAGCTCTAAAAGCCGTTCGAATCCATTCGCTGCTTGATGGGACTCAATATTGCGTTTTGCTGTTGGAGCTCAGATTGTGTCCCTCGGGCTGCGTCCGCTCTCGTATTCATTCCAACTGCTTGGTGAAAACCTTATTAACGAGGAGCAGATAAGCAAATACCATCCTCCTCCGTTCTTCCCCCCCCCTTGAACCCCCAAATAATAATTAGCCGACTAACGAGAAGGACGAGGAGCTGCCGATCCCGGTCCGGCACGTCAAGTCCAACCTGGAAAAACAAACGGTCTGACAAATGGACATGGAACGTACGTACGCGCACACATCTGGACGGCCAGGAAGGGAAAAAGAAAACAAATGAGAAACGCTGAACCAAGCTGTTATTAATTACAAGAAAATGATGATGAGGATGAGTAGTATGATGGGGGAAGGTCCACGCTTTGGAAAGAGACGTGAGAAGGATGACAAATCAGCTGCGGCCTGAGCCCCTTGGCGGGAATTCCTGGAGTTAAAATCCCAAAATATATACGCCGCACATTCTTGAACACACAGGGCGGCTCCTCAAGGATGGATTATCACGCATCCATCATCTTGTAGCTTGTTTTTCATTAAAGAGTACAGTGAACCCATGTTAATAGGTAAAAATCTACAATAGTAAAAACACATTCAGAAAACCCCGCCAAAACACTTTTGAAATATTCCTTTGTGTCTGTACTCACTTTATCGCTGTCAAAGAGGAGCAAGTCATATAAAATCACAAAAAAAAAAAAAAAAAAAAAAAAAAAAAGACTGTCGCTTGCATAGTTCTTCAAATACGAGGTCAAGTGCTTGCTTCAAACTGTTTGGTCGACACTCCCAGCAGGACCTGACTGAAAAACTTGACACAGAAAATGAAGAAGAGACGAAAAGAGATTTTTTTTTTTTAAACAACAAAATGTTCAACCAAACCATTTCGTCCGACCAAAGTCTGATATCTTAATGCTAAAATATAATCTGAAACATCATAGAGCGGCTCGTGGAAATTAGCATAAATGTTACAGTCATTCCAAACTTTCAACTATTATTTTAACGCACACAGAGCAGCAACATCTACAAACAGAGTTGAAAACAATACTCATGAATATCTCCAAGGTCGGACAATGATGATTGGGGTCCTTCTCTGCCCCTTCTTATTCTGTTACGCTACTGTTATTCATACAGTTTGCACATCAATACTGGACTTAAATATGTATAAAAATGCATGCAAATAATGACATAATTAAAGTGCTTTGTACCAAAAAAGTTAGAAACATATTTTTTTTGAACAATCACATGCACTACTGAAAAGTTTAAAACACCTCCACCGTACTTTGTAAACGTACACTGTAACCATGCACAGTTTTCAAACATTTCATTCTGTGATTCTTTCACCACATTTTGTGAATCGCTCGTTTTGATAATATGGCTTGAATGCAAGGTTTGGTGTTTAAACTATACAATGTTTTAATTGGAGTTTGTTTTTATGTGTCAGTATTCCAGCATTTAACTGGAGGAGACAAGCGAGTAGCTTGAAGCAGGCACACTTTGACTCTTACTTGGAGAACCGTGAGGCTTTAGTCACGGTGGAAGAAATTAAGAACAGTTCCAAATCACAGCCAGTGTTAGCATCAAACCGACATACTTCTGCAAGAACGCAAAAACTTGCCAGGAAAAGAACTGCAGAATTTGGGGGTTAATTAGAAGCACTTTAAGTGGTGGCAGGTGTGTGCTGACGCCCCGTTTGTCATCAGGTTAAATGTGACTGGTTAATTCCGAGCGCAGCCTCTTCCCCGGTTAAAATAGGGTGTGCACATTTGTACAACCACATGATCTCATTTTTCCTCATTTTGACTTCCCCTCTCAAAAACATTTTTTGCAATATTAGTGAAGTTGTGCAGATTACGGATCACATGACTTGGTAGTCACATTTTTTTTTCATGTTCCAAAAACCTGGCATTTGAACAGGGGTGTGTGTACTTTGACTGTGTTCTAGTGGTGTATGTTACAAAGAGAGCAACTAAGAAGACAAAAACAAGTGAGCTCATTGTTGCCGTGCTAGTTTCCAACCCATTACAGCGGATTCGGGTCAGCGAGCTTGACAAACGACCGGCGGTGGCATGGCGCTGACCCACGGGTCCAGTCAGGCCCATTCAGGCCCAGTCAGGCCCGAGCGGATAATGTTGCCGGCCGGGTTGTCATTAATTCCCGTTCTTCTATCAATATCTAATTATCTGATCTGTCTGCAGGAGCGCAGCCGCAAGATCAAGCCCACGGTAGAAGTCTTTAAATGGCCAATAAAGCCACCCGGCAGAGATGAAGTCCGTGCCTCAGTGGCCGCGTTTGGTTCGGGTCATTATCATCATCATCATCATCATCATCATCATCAGGTATATTCCTATCTTCCTTGCAGGATGTTATTAATTTACATTAACTACCTGGTTGCGGAGATAAAGATGCAGTTGTGTTGTTGCATCCCGAATGTGTTCCGGCTGTGAATACTTGATGTATTTTTCTTATTACACACCATGTATTGTAATATATTCTTATTAGTGAGCACGTACACAAATATCATTTCATCAAATGTGCCCAAAAAGCATAGAAAATTAAAGGTTTCTAGTCAGCGTACACAGCAGCAAAATACAAAATAAAATTAAATTCCATCCATCCATCCATTTTCCGATCCACTTTATCCTCACAAGGGTCGTGAGGCATGCTGGAGCCTATCCCAGCTGTCTTCGGGCAGTGGGCAGGGGACACCCTGAACCGGTTGCCAGCCAATCGCAGGGCACACACAGTCGAACAAACCATCCGTGCTCACACTCACAGCTAGGTTGTGATTTTTGGTTTAATTACATGAAAAACAAATGTTTATTTTGTTACATTTCATTGTATTATGAGTTATTACCGTATTTTCCGGACTATAATTCGCTCCTGAGTATAAGTCGCACCAGCCATAAAATGCATAATAAACAAGAAAAAAAAACAAATTCTGTATTCGTCAAACTGGAGTACAAGTCGCATTTTGGGGGGAAATTTGTTTGAGAAAATCTAACACCAAGACCAGACATGTCATCTTGAAAGGCAAATCAAAATAAAAATCGAGAACAACAGGCTGAATAGGTACGATATGTTACATGACGCACAAACACCGAACTGAGGACGTGCCCGGTATGTTCACATAACGTATTCAGAGTTATTCAGATAATTATAGCATAAAGAACATGCTAAAAATACATCAGTTTCCCTCCAAATCAGGAAATCCAATGAAATTTTCTTCCACGGTGATCTCTGCAAACTCCGGAGGTAGAAGTTGCATCACTTCCTCTTCTACGTCGCTTACGTCAGAGTCGCTTACATCAGAGTCGCTTACGTCAGAGTCACCGTCAGCTGTTTTTATCAGTTACCGCCAATGTAGAAAGTATCAACACAGGGCTAGAGCACCCTCTTGCGGTTTAATGTAAAAATAACGTGAAATGATATACAGTCATGTGTCAATAATTTCATACATAAGTCGCACCCCCGCCCAAACGATGAAAAAAACTCAGATTTATAGTCCGGAAAATACGGTATGCTTTTTAAAAAGTGTAGTATTAGTTTTCTTGATTGAAAAAAAATGAACAGAATCAGTAGCGGTGTTTTTCGTTTGTCTGGAATGAAATGATGGCATTTCAAATCATTTCAAAGGGGAAAATTGATTTGACAGTTGGATTTGATGTGTGGACATTCCAACCTTTGCGAATGACTCCTGCACCCTTCCTTCTCGTGGGGGGGTACTTACACTTGATAAATTGATATCACCGTTACCACTCACTGCTTTTTGCACAACAAGCAGCATGAAAAGACCGCGTTTATCATCTGTTCACCTTCACGCTCAGATTATTGGAGAAGAGATAAGCAAGGCTCAGATAACACAGAAAAGAAAAGTCTGGAGCAGGAAGGGACTAAAATGTACCGGTAATGTTATTCCTGTGGCGTTCCAATGTTTTGTGTTGTGTTGCAACTCCACATTCCCAATCCTCCACAGTGGGTTTTGAAATATAAATGAAATGTCCGCATGTCTTATAAACACATCACATTACATTGTTATGAACTGAGAATGCAAGTTTTTAAAGGGATCACTGGTGTTGGTTTGGTAGCAGAATTTTTTTTTTTTTTTTTTTTTTTAAATGGAGTCTCCAAAGATGGTTTCATTGAAGCAACATGAAATTTGGTAGGTATGTATATTATGAATAGTCCTCCAAAATATCTCAGGAAGCCATGTCCAAATAAAAGCACAGCAAGTTTGCAATGACAGTTTGAAGCAGATAATCGGCCTGGAAATCAGGAAAATTCAGCCCCTGAAGTCAGTTTTACTTGGCAACATATGCATAGGCATGTCAGAATGAGTAAACAAGAAGCCATGTGGGGGGTCCCCCCCCCCCCAAGAAAAAAAAATGCAGGAAGTCTGCCATTTTGATTTGAAGTAGCCAATTTTGACCATTCTCAGGGGTTATTTAGTTGGAATTGTTTCAAAATTTGGCCTTTCAAGCCAATTATTCTACTTGACAATATAAAATTTGCTCGGCATGTGCATTGTGAGTAGACACACCCAAAAAATTCTCGAGAAGTCATCCCTGAAAATACACAGAAAGTCAACCAATTTGATTTGAAACAATCATTTTTAGGGATCGTTCAAAGTTCAAACTGCTAAAAGCTCACAATGCCGGTATTTAATTTGATAGACATGTCTATCATGAGTAGAAACACAAAAAAAGTCTCAAGAAGCCACGGCCAAAAAATAATTAAATAAATAAAATAAAAGCACAATAACTTTGACAATATACTTTGCAGCAGATTTGGGCTATCTGCAAATTTAGCCCCTGAAGTCAGTGTTACTTTCCAGTGCAGGCATGCATAGGCATGTGATCATGAGAAGACTCACAAAAACAGTCTAAATAAGTCATGTCTAGGCGCTGCTGAAATTCTGCCATTTTTATTTGAACCTGCCATTTCAGGGTAATTTTGGCCATTCTCAGTGGTCCTTGGAATTGTTTCAAAATTCAGCCTTCAAAGCTAGTTTTACTGGACACTAGAAAATTTGGAAGATGTGTCCATTGTGAGCCGACGCAAAAAAAAAAAAAAGTCTGAAGAAATCGTGCTGGAAAAGACACAGGAAGTCTTCTATTTTGGTTTGATACTGTCGTGTCTTATCCCGTTCATTCGGTCTTTTGTTTCCATTTGTGTTCGTCAACCGGGGGCCCCTTGGGTCTTCCGATCGGCTCTCTCAGCTACTTGTGGCTTGTCCAGGTGTTCCTCGTTGTCTCGTCAGTTGGCTTGTATTTTGTTCTCTGCTTTTTTTCAACCCTGCTCAGTTCATTGTTTGTGCTTTCTGTCAGCTGTCTTGTTCCCAGCTCATGTTCTGTTGAGTCTTGTCCCAATGTTTATTTGGAACTTTGAATCTGGTTTTTGGACTTTGTTGATTTTGTATGTGTCTATTTTGAATTGCGTATGCCTTATTTACTTTCCTTTTAGCTCTTTTAAGATTGAGTTCCTATTTTTTGGAGTGCAATCCGACCTTCCTCCCTGCTTCGCTGCACTTGGGTCCGCAACCTCATATGCACCCCATTTGACAGGTATGGCCAATTTCAGGTCATTTGATCAATTTCCAAAGGTCCTTTGAAGTCCTTGCTTTGGAAGTTGGCCTAGAAAAGTTGTCTGGTTGCTACTAAACGTGAATCATGTGTACTCAGTTAGTTTTTATCAGTGCATGTGACCAAGCAAAGCTGCGATGTTTGATGACTCGCCATTAAAACTTTACAAATGCAACCAACTACAAAGCTGCTTTGATTTCGCAGCATGACATTTGGTAGGCATGTCCAGTATGGGTCGAGTCGCAAAAATCTTGTGGGCAAAGAATAGTGGCAACTTTTTAATGTGGGGAAAAAAGCTTTACATGAAATTTGGTAGGCATTTCTATTGTGAGTAGACCCACCAAAAAGGCTGAAGAAGCCATGCCTAAAAAGACTCCAAGTCTGCCATGTTGGTTTGAACAAACCATTTTGGGTCCTTTTTGGCCATTTCCAGAGGTCCTTCGATGTCTTTGTCTTGGAACATGTCCTAGATGTTTCATCCAATTGTGACCAAATTTGAACCACGTGCACCAAACAGATGGACCACGATAAATTGAGAAAAATTTTCAGTTTTTGGATTGCGTGTGGAAACAAAATGGGAGTGGAATTTGATGAGTCGCCGTGAAACAGGAAACTCCAATAAGTCAACTCCATCGGGTCAGAGCTTGACTCTTGACTCCTGATGCTTGTTTTGTTTTTTTTTTTTTTTTCCTTTCTCTTTGTCTCCCAAAAACTGCCTCCTTGCCCATTTTTTCTTGACTTTGTGTCACAGTTTGGTTTGAAGCTTTAATCACTGTTTGTGGATGACTCATTACTGATGGCGGGCATGCAATTCGTCAAATTTTCCGGGTAGAAGACATAGTGCAGGATGGTTAAAGAGGAAGCCAGGATGCTTATTTTTCCCAAAGAGAACAAATGAAAGAGCACACAATTTTGCTTTCTCCTATTCCTCACTGATCAAATTCAAGTCACAAGTGTGAGTTTTATCGACACCAAGCAAAATGACTCCGGCTTCACTCGTATCCCCGCAGTTCCTTCATCCGCTAAGGATAATTTCACCTCTATTGATTTGTTCTTTTACACGTTATTTCTCGGGTTGGAGGTGAGTGGGGAGACTCGACCGTCTCCAAATGGGAAGATGATTTATTTTTTTTAAAAGAACAAGAGCAGCAGAATGTTCCGCTGGTGGCACTTGTTACACCAGGGAGCTTGTAAAGGGACTGACTCTCGTCTTTGTGCTGTGGTGTGATCATATAGAGGACATCATGAGCCATGCTCTATGTAGCGTATTTTTAGCGAGCTTTTTTTTAATGGGTTTACATTATGCGCACAAGTCTGAATTGAGAGTTGAGCACATTGTGTCGTAACGTGGTATAGTTAACAGCTAGAAGAAGAGGCAGAGAAGGTCTCCAATAAATCTCTTGTAATAGCTGTTGTCCCCAGAGAGGAATATATGCCTGTCAGTACTTTTGGTTGCTCTGTTTGTATGTGCTGTTGCTCTATTTTTTTCCAAGTAGCCCTTTTTGAAGGTTTAGAATTACTTGGTCTTGGTATGTCAGGAGTGCCCCACCAGTGGCCGGTCGACCAGAGGGCGGAAAAGGAGAGATATTTTTTGTTGTGTATGTGTGCATGATATTAACCTTTTCAGGGACAGCAGTTACTACAGTGGACAGCTTCTGTTATCAAGTTACAAAGTGCATGAAAGGGTTAATATTTTTTGTGTTAGTGTACACCTGCATCCTATGTGTCTCTCGTCCACAAAAAGCGTGAGAACAAGTGCAAAGGAATACTCATTGAAATGTTCATTTTAATTAGTGTAAATGTGTTTAAAACCTATGGGAGGGCAGAACTAAACATCTTTTTAATACCAATACACGAAGTAGGCGAAAGGCAGAAAGATGATTTGCACTTAAGCCTATCCATGCAAAAAAAATCGTAAAAAAAGAAAAATAAAGGCCGTTTTAGCGAACCAGAACCCTGAAGTTTTAAAAGACAATGACTTTACTGTATATCAATGTGTTTAAAGAGAGTGTTTAAAAAAAAGAGGCAAAGAATAAACAATGAAAGTGAATGAAAACAAAGCTAACTTTGGTTAAAAAAAAAATGGCTATTGACTTGTAAAAAGAAATTTGGGTTCCACCATATTGAGTTTTCTCGATTGTTGATTTAAGTGGTTGGCACATCATAGCACTCCCTAGTGGAGGCTTTGACATTTTAGCTGTTAAATTCGTTCGGGCAGTCCCATATTGAATTTCAGTTCACATATTTTTCAAGGAAACTGTGTCTTACATCTTGCCGCATACACGTGACACCTAATAGCTTGAGCATTTAAGCTAATCAGGCCATGGTGTTGTGTGCTTGTCCCACGGAGTGTCCCTGCTGGACTTAAGTGGCTGGAATGTGCTAAACTGGAGTCATGCTGGGTTCACAGTAGTTGACAGGAAATTACATTTATCCCCCACTTGTATCCCCCAACTCCCCCGCTAAGCTGCTGGCAGGCCGCAGCGAAGGGCATAACCGATCGCGAGGTTCAGAGCTTTACACCAGGTTCATCCGAAGCACAGAAGCTGATCATTACTACCCTTACATTATTACTGCTAATAATGCATGACATTTACAAAGTGTATCGCGCTTTTCCGGATGCTCAGATGCGTCACAGCGGATACATTAGTCATGCACTCGACACCCAATCACCATCTTTGTACAAAGACATGTACAGCACTTTGTGTGCAGTGATGGCTATTTGAAAGTACTCTATAAATACAGTTGAGTTGAGTTGAGAAAGACTGGAAATGTAAGAAACAAGCGTTGAACTGTGCATGCTTGCCCTGGAATCTCGTGCCTGAATGGACGTTGGCCCCGAGGGGATGTGATCGATGGATGGTTTCACAGGCGCCTGCTCAGGTCTGATGCCGATGTCGTCAAAGCTGAATAAGCTCAGCGTGATTTCCGCCACACTGCCCAAAGACAATCTCCAGCTCTTCAAAGACAAGCGTAGAAAAGACAAAACATGACAGGACAGCTTCATCCACCTCATGTGCTGTCACTTCAGCACTATTCTCTCACAAACACCTCGTAACCTCTGTTTTATTTCATCTGTCATCACTCCAGCTCAAACTGCTGTCAGGGTTTTTAAGTTATGAGCTGTTGCCGCGTACTAGGTGGTGGCAATTATTCAATGTAGAGGCTTTGAGCGGTTTCTCATGTCGAGTGTTTAACCAAACCACAAAGGTTACAAAAGTCCATTAGCTTCATGTTAACACACAACCCAAAACACCAAAGCTTGGCTAACAAGTCTAGCATGAATGTTGTGGTAGTTAATGCCCTTTAAGCAACTTATTTTAGAACACAAAACATGCAGCAAGGCATATAGACAGACACAATATCGTTATCCTAATAACATAATTGCCCCAATTTTTAAGTTTAATTTTTATGTCTATCGAGATCCTCAGTCATCCAGGTCATGTAATTAGCAAAGGTTGAATCGATGCAAATGGACTGATCTTGTTTGTAGACTTTGTGTCTCCTTTTTTTTTCAGTTTTCTGAAAATGTTTTAAAATGACACAGGCAATTTTACATTAGAGCTACAGTATGATTATACTTCTCATGGGCATATATTCTTTATCCTCTGTGGAAAACGACTATCTTACTGAATGGCTTCATTGTGCATGTCTTATTTGTGCATTATGTATGTCTTTATTATACTGGTGGCCAAGGCCCACACACCAGAAGGAGCAGCACAATGTCAATGTACCTACTGTGTTAAAGTGTGAAATCACGATGCACCTAACAGTTTAGATATATATGTTCAATTTTATTACTTATTTTTATTGCTTCATTTTTTTTTATTGTTTTGTAGATTGCTCTTTGGTTTATCCAAAAAGAACACCTCATAATACACATTAATGACATTACCATTATTTCAATGGGGAAAGATGGCTTCGGTGTTTTTTGGCCTTAAAGGTGTGTTGGTGGAATTAAGTGAACTAGAAATTCAAGTCAAATACAAATACACATATACAAGTAAGTTTTTTCAGTTGCTGCCATTGATTAATTTAGTGTACAGTCAATTCACAATGTTAGCAAAACTCTAGTAACTCATTGTTTGGGTAGCATAAAAGTTGCGCCAATGCTAGCTAGCGTTGAGTGTAAGAAAACAAAACGAGGCATTTAAGTCACATACATGGATGCATAAGGAGTTGAATTAGTACTTCTATTTTTACCATTTTGATACCCATGAAGCTTTTTATATTATTATTTTTTTGTCCCTGTCAGACAGTACAATATTCCAGACAAATGAGGCGTCCCGCTCCAAAGTATTTCCATCGCCAGCAAATGACGGTGATGAGGTCTCGCGGGGGAACAAGATGGAATTGCGGAGGTCCGCTAATGGATTGTGGAGTGCGATGTCTGCGGAGTGGTGCCAGGTGACTGTTTTCATTTTACCTTTCACCTCAAAATGAATGCGGTTCCTGTTTGGATACATTTGAAGTTTAACCAAGAAATAGCTCAAATAATACAGTCTAATCTTGACTCAAGAATTAATTGTGTTCCATATCCAAGCTTGCAACTCAAACTAAAATCAAATTTCCCCACTGAAATGAACCGAAATGCCCTAAATCCTTTACAGACGCTCGAAAAAAAAAACTTTTAAAAAAGAGGAAAAAAATGCTTGTATGAAAACCCAACAGTATATATCCCAATAAACTGGTTTTATAAAGTTTAATTACTGTAGTGTTAGTGTGATGTATGTGTGCCTCTAAGGGGCGTGGCCTAGTGAGTGATGCCAGGAGTTGACCTCGCTTAGTCTGCATATGAGCAGTCTGGGCATGAGTTATGGCTCCTTGACAGTGCTTTCAATTTTTATTTCTGTTTCACTTGTCCCTTTCACTCAACAGTTGAAACGGTGTCAATGACTGTGGCTCTCCTTACGCTCATGCGAAGCGATTACAGTGTACATATGGTACCATAAATACAATGTAAATATGGCACATTTGAGGTGCGTAGTCATTAAATATGATGCAAATAAGGGACATCAGAGGTACAGTATGCACATGAAATATTATGCATATGTGGTACATTAGAGGTGCATAGACATAAAATACACCAACGACTGCACCTCGGCGCACCCACCAAACTCCGAAAGTTCGCAGGCGACACCACAGTCATCGGCCTCATCAAAGACGGCGTACCGACAAGAATTGGAGCAGCTGGCGCTCTGAACACGCTCAAGATTGTAAAGTTGATCGTGGACTTTAGGGAACATTCTTCGCCACAGCTGCCCCTCACATTATTCAACTGCTGCGTGTCAACTGTGGAGACCTTCAAGATCCTGGGAATCACAGTCTCTCAGGACTTGAAGTCGGAGGCCAACATTAACTCCATTCTGAAAAAGGACCAGCAGAGGATGTACTTCCTGAAAGCTGCTGAGGAAGCACGGCCTGCCACAGGCGCTGTCATCGAGTCAGTCCTGTGTTCCTCCATCACAGTCTGGTTTGGGGCCGGCTACAAAAAAAAAGGATAAAATCTGACTACAATGTACAATTAGGACTGGGGTGGGGGGGGGGGTTAAAAATCATTGGTACTGTTCTACCCACTCTCGAGGACTTGCTTATTGCAAGAACCAGTGATATGCCATTAGGGGTACCAACTTTACATTTCTCAACTCAACTCAACTGTATATATAGAGCACTTTCAAACAGCCATCGCTGCATACAAAGTTTCGTGAAAATATGATGCATTGGTGGTGTATGGAACATTAAATAAGACGTAAATATCCATTAGCTGTACATACATTTGATGTAAATATAATTCATTAGAGGCATTTAGGACATTAAACAGGATGTAAATAATGTACATTGATTCTGCATGCCTTGTTCCGACTGAGAGTGTCACAGATGTGCGTCTTCCCATGAGGCCTTGCAATCTGTATGCAAATGGACATGGGGGAGTGACAAATGAACAAGGCACGGTGTTGTCAGCTCCTATTTGTCAGGTGAGGGCTGAGCAGGCCTCCTGTATGTCCACCAGACAGGAAACACTTGTACCACGCATCGCATGATTCATAATCACAGAATGGCAAAATGAAAGAGGCGTCTCAACGGAGGCACACCGAAGTGAACGAGATGATCCGTGGTGCTGTGTAGATTCACGAATTGACCTTTTGGCAAACCCCCCGTGTTCGTTTGCATCAACGGTCTGGCACATTTGCGACACACAGTTAGCTGGCGAGCCATGACTCTGCCCCCTAAAATGTATCTTTGCTCTAAATAGTCTGCTGCAATGGTTGCTTTAGCGCACACAAAGTGCACATATAATTGAAGCCTTCAAAAATGTGATTCAGTTGACAAAAAGTATATTAAAAATGTTGAAGTGTCTTGAAAATCACATCGGTCCTTTACGTGAATGTGTCATAAAATGACTCCTTTTTTTAATGCTCGATGTTCAGCCTTCGTTTTCTCATTACTTCACACTTTTTGCCTTCCTGACGCTCTGCACACACAAAAAGGTGCGAGAAAAACCCCCGCTCTGATTTATTTACTTTGTCTGTTGAGTTTTAACCAGGCAATATGATGATTTTCACTGAGCGTGCAGCTGTGTTTGTTTAACCAAAACTCCAATTTGTGTTGGAGATATTGCGTCTGGCGTAGGAAAGGAAATCAAATCAGGATGGAAAAAAAAAACCCCGGCACAAATGACACAGCAGGCAGAATAAAATGGAGGAAAAAAAAGCAGACATTTCCTACATGACATGGAGTGTACAACATTGGAAACATGAGTGGGATTATCAAGTTGGGTTGATTAAGATGAGGTAAAAATAATTATAAACTGTGCAAAATACGTAGTCAGCTCTGAAAAATAAATGAATACATCATACAGATATTTATAAGTCTTCACACCCTTGTTGAAATTCCAAATCTTTCTGAGCCAAAGAAGATAAGACAGAGAAATATTATTTAAAATATATATCTTTTATTAACAAGAACTACAACTCAAGTGAAATAAATACATCTCTTCAAGAGCACACGCCCGCCTCCATTTAAAGTGCCTCGCATTAAAATAAAGTTCAGCTGTTCTAGTATGCCTTTCCTGACACCTTTGTCGCCCCTCCCCCATAATTTGCCCACCCCTTGTCATGTTGTGAGGCATAAAGCAAGATTCAACCCAGCTGAAGTGAGGAAAAAAAAATAGAGCAATTAAGACACTTCATGCCCTCGCATGTGGGCAAGGAGAGCTATTTGTTTTTGCAAGGCTGAAGAAACTAAATGTTTACATTTATCCATTTTATCAAGTTACTCTTAATTACCAATTCATCGCATCAATTCGGAATACATTTCCGATTTGGAACATTTCCCGAATTCTTGAACCTCCCACGGAAATTTACTGGAAATTTAGTCAAACTTCGCGGGGAAATTTCCCCTCCCCCTATGTAACTCCAACTGTCTCCTCATCGTATGATCCGGGTCTCCTTTGCAGGGGTCATCTGTAAGTAGTTGAGGAGGGTGAAAAGACGCGTCAGGCAGTGAACTGCTTGCTCTGACCTTGGCGGCGGTCACAGCTAAACAGCAGGAGGAGGGGAAAATAGCTCCAGCGGAGCATCGGGATTTATGTGGATGACATGTTCTTTACGAGCATTACGCCAGAGATGATGGCAGTCGGTGGTCCCCATAAATAACCCGACACTTACATTTTTATTGACTTTTGATTGATGATGGAAGCGCCATTGTTGCAGCTGCAATGCCAGAATTGAATTGGAAACGGACACTAAATTTCAACCAAAATGGCCGCCAACGTGGGATTCACAGCCCAGGGTACCAGCGTTGATACACATGGGTCTTGTTTATTCTCGCTCGGGGGAAATACGTGTCGTTGCTGTCTAAAAGCTGTTTGTATACAGGAGGGGAATCAAATAATAAAAGCCCCACAAAAGTTCCGTAGTTACTGGAATGATGACAATGAAAGCCTCCTTCCCAAAAACGCCAACAGTTTATGGCTCGGGCCAAAATCCATGTCACGTCAACATTTTCAAAAAGTGAGCGTTTGTATAGGAAAGTTGGCGTTTGCCAGACAAACATGTTTGCTTGTACACAGCGTGAGACATCGGAGGAGCAAACGAGAATGGATTTTTATTTATTTATTTTTTTCAGGACAGAATGATTTATCACACTTAAGTTGGACTTGATTTAAAAATCAATCTTTGCTCCAGTCAGACGTCTCTCATCTCTTTTCTTCCGCATGGATCAAGTATCAGCATGAAACAAGCAATTTGTTCCTCTTGCGGCTCCTCGGCAAACATTATTTGATTTTTTCCCCTGTTGTTGACCATTCAACTATTCAACTTTGCGTCGACTTAAAAAAAAAACTGTACTGTGAAAAAGCACTTGTTATTGTCATGACAAGAGTATGTTGTGCAACTCTCAATTACAGTTCGTCATGAAGAAAAAAATAAATAAAACGAGGCTTGTGTGGGAAAACGGCACAAAAAAAAGAGACGAAAGGTTATTTAGTTACTGGAATAATAATTAAAGCATCTCAAAAAGTGAGTTAATAAAAGTAATTAAATCCCTTTAGTAGCTGGAAACATAACAATCAATAATAATTATCATTATTAAAATGCTTGTTTTATCACTCAAATAATATTCCATGCATTATATTTATATTTATTTATCTAATGAAATAACTATACATTTTTTGGTAAATAAAATAAGCGACAATATATTTAAATCAATTTTTTGATACATTTTAACAATGTTTTTGTTTACCTCTTTGAGAATCGCAAATGATAAAAAAAAAAAAATCCAATGGAACCGAGAAAGTTTGCTCAGCCCCAGTCGAATTAGATGAAATCGATGACACTATTATATAAACAAAACTGTGTTATGTATTCATTAGAATCTAAGTGAGGTCCAATCATGGCTGAGCAAAATACAAATAAAATGTCATTTTATTTCAAAGAGCCCAATTCAGATTGGATCTAGATGAGAGATTTTATTCCCTTGTACTACTTGGTGCTACTGTGCGATTTCAAGCCAAGTACTTGAAAGCAGAAATGTCTTCCTTCCCACCAGGGTGGCTGTCACGAGGCCTGGGCCTGGCTGCAAAGTTTTCTGGGCTCCTTCACAAAGTAGCTCGCTTGTAAAAGTGTCCCACAAAAATATAAATAAATAAAAAAAAATTCTGCCGTTTCATCGCTGCCGTATTAGCGAGCTGCGGAGGAGTTAATCCAGCAGGTCACCCGGATGGCACGTTTGAGTCGGTTCACTCAAGGACTCCGAAAAGGAGCTTCTCAAACAATGAAGCTCCCGGACTACCGCGCTCAGCTTTTAGTGGGATAGCGCTGACTGAAGAGATTAACTAACTGCAGGGGCCGCTCTTGTGTTACCATCGAAGACTGGATTTACATCACTCCAGTCAGACAATTTTACATTTTTTTTTGGGGGGGGGGGCGCTCAAGTGGCACGACAGGAATATGCGGATAGAAGATGGAATCGCATTACCTCCAATTGGAATCAAACCTTTTCCGAAATCCATAAATCAAAAATGGGATCAATTTCCCAATGGGAATTCAGCGTAAAGGCACAGATGAGATCTATCCTGTGAATGTCATCTTGACTTCATCGTAATCCACCTTTTAAATTTGTGGTCTCCATTTGTGGTCTCCAATCACCGGTCCGCGGGCTATTTGGGACCGCATTTGCACAGAGACGGACGGACAACAACAAAAACATTAATACAATTTGCAGTGGAACTTATACGCCAGCCCGCCACGACTCCCCACCCTGCCGGTTAACTTACAAAGGGCAATAATATATGTCGGGATGGGCAATTATACAATATGATTAAGAATCGTGATATTAAAGCTGAGCAGCTATGAGCACATTGACTCAATCAGATGCGGCAGAAATGTGTGTGACGGCAGCCAATCGGGAGTCCAGCTTTTCCTCCTCCTACTTTGCTTGACACATTCAAGAAGTGACCAGAAAATAACCTTGAAACCTTGAAAAAGTAACAATTATTTTACTGATTACTTTCTTTCAGAAGTAAATTATTTACCCTACTATTAACTTCATTTTAAAAGAAAAAAACAAAGTTACTTTAGTAGTTGCATGGAGCGGATGGCGACAGTCCAGCTTCGGCTACGTCAAAGGAAGAGTTCGCTTAACATAAAAGAGCTACTTGTATACGTGTGTGTGTGTGTGTGTGTGTGTGTGTGTGTGTGTGTGTGTGTGTTTGTGTGCAATATACTGTATATATACAGTATATATCTCATGACATGATGTCACTCCCTCAGATGGGAATGTAAAGTTGGCGTCTCCCGCAATGGCCGACTATGTTCAAGCTGTAAATACCAGAGTTTCCTTTTCTCATGTGTTCCATCGTGTCAAGTTACTTGTTGAGTGCCTTCACCGAGCACATGATGGTGTTCGGAATCAGGTGAACATGGCTGAGGTATATGCGCTGTGAATTTACGTCTTGTGAAATATTTCTTCCTGCCGCAACCTGGAGGTGGTTAGCTGTAATTGCCTTTGGTGGTGAAAGGTGCTGCGCTTCGAAATATTGATGTCTCCTTCGAGTAGAAGTGAATATATTTGACACAGCAACGTTTTGTGGTATGTGACAAGTGAATAATGACTGAACATGCAGCAATGACCAATCCTCATCCACACCCAAAAATGTTTTAAATGAAAAACATTAGCCAGCGTCGAATAAAAATCCCCAAGAACTTTATGTAACACGCTTCGATCAAAACAACCATTTCTAGATATACAAAGAGAGAGAGATTCATTCGCGGTTCACGCTGTATTTTTCTTGTATGCTATTTTAAGTTTGAAATCTCCTGTGCCTGAGGAATTGTGTCAATTTGTGAGGTCCAATCTCCATTTGATTTCATCCGAACGATGTTCTTCATCACCAAACCGGTCCAAGCGTGCCTTGATGGACTTTGCTGTGGAACAGAAAAGGAACTTCCCCAAACCGTTGCCACAAAGTTGGCAACGCTCAGTTCCAAAGCTCATCCGAAAGGCTGTCATCCAAGCCCTGATCCTGATTGATTGATTAATGGATTAAGAGCTGTGTCGTGGATCTTTTCGTGTCTTTGATGATTTGACAGTTTTGGACGCGGTGTCTGTTGTCAGCAGAGGCTTCTTGGACTCATCCTCTGATGATGATGTCACTTCTCATTCAGTGGGAACGCCAGACATCGGGATTGCATTTAAACCCCAGAAATGCAAGTCAGATGATCAGTCACGCGGGATATAAAACTGTGGTCAAAGTAGATGTTCTGATTCCTTCATTTAAGTAAAAGTAAATGAGTTCGGACAAAAACAAAAAACTATCAAAACAACATATTGTCATAGCTTTGTTCATGTTGCACAGTGATGAACAAAAAATGTTCCATAAGCCAATGAGGACAATAGAAAAAAAATACATTTAGTTGTTTGTGTGTTTTCAGTTTGAACAAATTTTGAACGCTAGATGTTGGTGGTTTTCACATTTTTTTTTATAGCCTACAATATCCAAAAAATTCTCTCAAATAAGACTATGAATGGGGAATATTTTTCTTATATGAATCTTTTATGTCGTTGTTAACATTCCCCAGTTCATGCTCCGCCATTTTATACGTGCCGAGATCGTAATCCATCGATCGATGTTTAAAAAATGAACAGGCGTATTTTGAGCAAGGAGTAGAAAATACAGATGTCTGTTTTTTAAAAATAGGGAGTAAAAGTAAATGGTTGTAATATAATACTTAAAGTGCAGAGACTGTGAACCTCCGTTTATTGTGGGGGATACGTTCCATACACATCTGTGACAGGTGAAATTCACAAAATCCAGAGAACGTTTCCGAAACACGTTTGATTTGTAGTTTTAGTTTTAAAAAAGGGATTGTAAAATCACTAAGACACACGCGCGCACACACACACACATGCGCACGCATGCATGAGCGCGCACCCAGTGATGAGACACTGACAGAGAGTAACTCACGTGATAAGACACAAGGGAGGTTGTTGGGCGGGGCTGCACAGCCAATCAGCTCACGGGATAAATCCACTCGTGCTGTCATTGGTCGACGTCGCGCTGGGAAGCAATCACGTACAGCCATGTACAAAACCTTTGAATCATTCTGCATTTTTTTCTGAATACAGTACTTTGGGAAAAAAAAACCCGCGATGGACTCAGATGGAGTGAGACCGCGATAATTGAAGCGCGATATAGCGAGGGATCACTGTACTCAAGTACAGATTTATGAAAACTTGACTTTCAATACAGTATCCGAGTTTTTGAATTTACAGTTACTTCTGTGCCACTATGATGTGATGTGAAAAACAATTGTAAATAGTACGGCCACCTTATCTACATATTATATTGCACTTAATTGAACGGTGTACATTGAAACTGTAACATTTATTTTGTGAATTTGTGAATGCATCCACTTTGTTTTTCTTCTGTCTTTTTTCTACCCACAATCTTGCTGCTGTAGACTGTAAATTTCCCCAGTGTGGGACAAATAAAGGATATCTTATCTGATCTTCACACCACTGCCCTCCATACAATCACGCCTTCATGAGACTTCCCTGCTCTCTTCCGCAAAGAGACAGCGGGGCCCGGAGGACTTAATTTGTCCCCGCGCACTTTGTCCCCAACTCCAGTGGAAGCCGTTTTCAGCATGTAGCTGGTGACATTCCAGCGCTAATGCCTGTCTTGGCTTTCAGCGTAACAAGAGTCAGATGATTGGCTGAGTCACAGTGGATCACGTAGAGCCTGTCCTTCGTCTTAATCCGCTCTCCAGTGGCCTTGAGTTGGCTTCGCCGCGGGTTACGAGTTACACAAAACCACAGTTTACTCTCTGCGTTCCTTGTAAAATGGGGAGTTGTTTAGTCAGATGCCATCTGCTGCAGACTTGATTTAACACCAGTCTTGCTTTTTTTTTTTTTTTTTTTTTTTTGCTGAGCATTCAGGAAGGAGGTCACCGGGAAACACAGCAGTGACCAATTAGAGTGTCAAACCGGGGAGCTTTTGCACGCGGACTCGATGGAAGTTGGATCGTCACGAGGGAAGGAGCGTAGGGACCGATCGTCAGGCTACCAAAGCAGGGGTGGGAATCCCAATTTGGTTGCCAATGATAACGATGATATCACCGTGCAACCATTATGCGCTAATCGATATTGGAATGAAAAGCTCCAAGGTTGTCTGCAGCAAAGTAGCACTCAGCTCCATTTTCGACTGACCCGTCATTCAAGAACAACGCGGCAGTTTCAGCCCTAGAAAAATAACTGTGAGTTTTGTTGAAATGTTTTGTGGGTAGCCGTCTAATTGTTGAGGGCAAAGACTTTATTGGAAGAAAAACTCCAAAGGATATCTGCAGGCACTTTGTTGAACCAAAGTAGCAACACTCCATTTTTGATTGACACTTCATGCAAAAAAACAAAACAACCCCCCCCCCGTTTCACAGTCATAATGGCCCTCCGAGGGAAACTGTGACGACAATGTGGCCCGCAACAAAAATGAGTTTGACACCCCTGGTTTAGGCAATTGTCGGAGTCTATTTTTTTTTTTTTTTGTCTTGGACAAATTTGTCACATTTTAACTTATGAATGTACCACATTCAAATGTAAAACCTAATTGCAACGTTCTCTCAATACAGTTGTGTTGACCATTATGAGAGTGGAGTTATTATTGTAAGAGAAGTACTTCATGTGAGGCAAAAATGTCATTGTTTCACTTTTTTTTTTTGTCGCACAAGAATAAAGCCACAGTGGTATGAAAAGAGTCCCATTTTTATGTTGAGGATTTGCAAAGCATGTGCTAATTGGAACTTGACAAGCTCTTAACAAGTTTGATTGTGTCATATTTCCCCTTTAATTTTTTTTATTTGTTGCTTCCCCAAAAGTTCACGTGACAATACAAGTACCTGTTGGACTAGGTAGTCTTTGCTGTTCTTTTAATTGCCTTTCAGAGTGATGCCGGCATGGCAGATTGCATTCATTTAAAAGTGCCACAACACTCTCCACGTCACCCTTTGTTAGACGTTTCTAATCAGCGCTGAGGAGATTCCAATTATACGAAATGTCGGCCAAGTGAATTCCAACAAGGATGGTCTCGCCCGGTTGGCTAAGAATAAAAATGGTCACAATAATATGCACCTCCCTACTCTGCTAATTTTTCAAAACAACGATATTTGTTTGAGATTTCTAAAGGAGAGTCGCATGAGTCTTTATCAGTTTGAAGCTTTTGATGACCCAAACATTGAAAGCCTCAAGTGGTTTCATGGCACGCGCTAATTAAAAGTCCACAAAAAGGGTCGCGTTGGGGGCCTACGTTATAAAAGCCATTGCAAATTGAACTTGTTGTCATTCTCTGCACAAGTCGTCTCCTTGCAATCTCCCGCTGCTTCTTCTTCTTCTTCTTCCTTCGTCCTCGTTATCAGTCCCTGCAGCTTGTCAAGCAGAACGCGGCCCAACGGACGAACGCAGGTATTGATCTCCAGGGAAGGCACAATCGCTGCCGTCTAACGAGCACAAATTAGAGTCAAAAGCTCGGCGGCCGACTAAAAAGAGCGTTATCGCACAAAGCCGCGGAAAGCCGATGAAGTGAGGCGGCCGAGACAAAAGGCGGAATCAAAATTGGGAGATGATGACGAGCTTTGAAGTCAGATCACAACAGCAGCTTTGATTGACTTCAGATGCAGTTGCAATTACATGGAAAAAAAACAAAAAACACTTTTGACAATATTTCTACACAAAGAGATGATCTAAGACAGAGGGTGTCAAAGTGGTTTTTCGTCGGGGGGCCCGCATAGTAGTTCTGGTTTCTCTTCAGAGGACTGTGGTAACTGTGTAATCACTTCATTACGTGCTCACATCAACACAATGACTATCAAAATTGGCTCTGCAATTTATTCTTGTTTTGTACACTGCTACCGCAACTGAACCAGTGCCCTGACTTTTTTTCAAGGAGCCAATTCATGCCACGGTTTCCTATAGGCATACATATGATGATATATTACCTTTGGCACAATGGCGACCTCATTTCTTGTGAAATATTCATTTTTTTGCGGTGGCTACTTCTCGAACCCGGAAATAAGACGCTCGATTCACTGAAAACCCCGCCTCTCCCCATGTGGCTGCTCCTCCCCTTTTGTGACGTCGTCCTCAAGCAGCTTTTGCTGCGCACACCACAAAGCAAAACAATAAATGAAAAGCTGTTATCGCTTGGCAGACGAGTGGCGCTTTTCCTTTAGTCCCAAACAGTCCCACACCGCTCTGAGCTGTCATGCATTTGGCCGCCCCTCGAAGTCAACAACTCATCGACTTCACTCAGCGGTTTCCCAAGCCGGTCGCCAGCTGCCCAAAGCCGCCATCCCCGAGGCGGGAGCCGCAACACGGCCTCCTAAATCTTGATGAGAGGCGTCATCAAATATCACAAAACTGTCGCTAATCTCACAAGACTTCATCGAATAGAACAAAACTCTCACAAAAACGAGCGAGACGGTAAAATGATTAATGTACTGAGTTGGTCATCCATCAGTCGATCAACTCGGGTCACCAAATGTCGCAGCGCTTCCGCTTGTGAAACTTTTTGAAATCTCACAATTTCTCGGCTAAATCTCATGAGACTTAGTCAGATTATGCAGATTTTACAATGAAATGCTTGAGGTTTCCCTAAATCTCACTTGTGGGTTCCTTACGCTTTACAAAACGTCCACAGAATCTGGTAAAAAATGCTTCAACTAAATCTTTTAAGACCGGTTGGAATGTCGTCGTCCACCAAATCTTACAAGACTCAAACAAAATCTCGTAAGACTTGCTTGAATCATGCAAAAAAGAGAGAAAATCTGCCAAATCTTACGGGACTTTCTCTAAATCGCATAAAAAGTGATCAATTCTTGTAAGACAAATTTTTTTTTACGAACTGCGAGTTGGTGCAAGGTAATGTGAAACTTTTTTGGTTGGTTTGTTTTTTTTTTTTTTAAATATACGACAATCTTGTTGACATCGTGCCGTCATGTTCTCCAACTTCCCAGCGTGTGCAGGACCACCTGCTAGCAATCACATCCGCCATCCGGGGCGCTGCAACTTATTCCAATGTCTGCTTTCAATTACGCCAAAGCGTAGGGTTGGTCGACGATGAAAAAGGGGAGGGGATTGGGGGATTGTGAGGACATTTTGATCCTCTCTGCTTAAAAGAAATATACATAAAACAAGCCAGGCGAAGGGTCAAAAGTTTGTCGAGTTTAACAAGGCTGTGAAACTTTTTAAAATGTTGTTTCTCAATCTCGCAGCAACTGGACACGTGGTTTCCTGCCTCCGCCGAGCCGCTATCTTCCTGCATTAATAACGTCCTCAGCTGCTCCATCCCAGATGACTCACAGCTGCAAATGGAAACAGCCAGAATAGTTTGGAGATGCTGCCACTTGTTCCAGTCTTCACCGATCCACTCCCGGCCCGGAGGCCCCCCAGGTACGAGTGCTTATCTGGCCGCCCCGCTGATAAGAAACACATGGAGGGGAAGCGATGGGAAGTCAGTCTTCAGTTGCAACGGGCTAAGTGGGGACCGTGGGGGGAGGGGCGGGGTTAAGGGGTGCATGTCACAAACAAATCCCATGTGAAGAGAGCAGAGATGCTCCAGTGAAAGGTCCCCGCAGTCACAGGTCAACAAAAGAACACGTAATCTGAATGCAGTACTAACTTGTGGTATCGGGAGTGCAAATCTACACATATTCATTAAAAAAAAAAAGACATAAATGCCCTTACGTCCAAATTTCGGCATCTCAATTGTCATGATACAGTGGTACTTCTACTTACGAAATTAATTGGTTCTGGAAGAAATTTCTGAACTCGAAAATGTTGTAAGTCGAGACGCGTTTTCTATGTAAATGCCCTAATCCGTCCCAAGCCCCCCAAAATTCGGACATAAATGTTTTCTAAAGCATAAAAATGCTATCAAAATATGTAACAAATATATGTTACAATCAGATTATTGCACAATAAATGAGAATTGTGCAGAATGTGAAAAACAAAGAATAGAGTAAAGAATAAAAATGATGGTCATTTAACTTTTAACTGCATCCTCATCGTTTTTTTGCCCTCTTTAGTCCATGTTCTCTCTCAGAAGTGGTTTTTGCCTGGTGTTTTGTAAAGAACTGATCCGAGGACGTTTGCTTTTTTCGGCTTTTAACACTCCTTCGAAAATGTCCAAGGCAAACATCAGCACAGTGAGCGATCGCCCAACTGGGTGATTCACATTTACGTCAAACTATCACATAATACCTCAAAAGAACCCTCGCAAAGACTTCCTCTAAATTCTGTCAGAATTCTGCTGACTCACTTCTTCAAATCTGCCGAGCTTTCCAGCGAAACACGTGAGACTTACGTCATTCTCACAAGACTTAAACACAATCATACAAGACTCGTGAAATTCCCACGAGATTTAAGTCAATCTCACTTCCACAATGTATTGTGTTGGAACTTGGTCGGGAGCGCTGTATTTTTCCTCCGCGCGCTCTGCACGAGCATGTTCTCCCCGTGACGGCCGCTTGATAAATCTCACGCAAACGTGAAGTGACACGTCGGGACGTTCTTGAGGGGTGAAGCAGTCGCAGCTCTCGCGCAGCCTTACATCATTTTGTACGCCAGCCAACTCATCAGCGTGGACAAGTGAATACAAACGCTCAATCCGGAGCACCTGCATGAGAACAAGAACTGCCTCAAATGTACGACAAGGGAAAGTTCGTATACGGAACAAGAAAAAGGTTTCTGTTTTCAGCCATTTTCCTTTTAACCCATAAGAGCCCACAGTGACACCAGTGTCCAAGGGAAAGTTCGTATACGGAACAAGAGAAAGGTTTCTGTTTTCAGCCATTTTCCTTTTAAGGGCAGCTCTTGTATGTTCTTAAATGTTAGACTTGTGCAGAAATGTATAAAAACAGATTTATGTATGAGAACCTACTGTCAGGAATGTCGAAGGTGGTTATACTGTACAGTGGTACTTCAACTTACAAACATCTCTTCATATGAAATTTTCAAGTTACCAAACGACTCAACAGGAAAATATTGCCTCTTGTTACAAAAGAAATGTCAAGATACGAAAGTTAAAAATACAGTATAGGCTGCTACTTACAGCTCCAAGTTTCCTGAACGCAACATAATTGTTGCTGCTCTGCCATTGGCTATTAGCTAGCTGGCATCCCATTGGCTAAGAGGGACCTCTACCGGATGTGTCTATGTGTGTAGATTGACAGATGTGTGTCTATGCGGCGTCCTCGTCATTCGCCCGTTGGGCCATGAGGTGTTTCGATAGTTTGACGTAAATCACCCAGAAAAAGTGTTCACCAGTCAGGCGATCGCTCACTATGGTGACGCTTGCCTTGGACATTTTTGAAGGATTGTTAAAAGCCGACAAAAGCAAACGTCCTTGGATCAGTTCTTTATAAAACGCCAGTCGAAAATCACTTCTGAGAGAGAATGTGAACTAAGGCAAAAAAACGATGAGGACGCAGTTAAAAATACAAACAAATAAAATTGTGTGTGTGTGTGTGTGTGTGTGTATCCACATATATATATATATATATATATATATATATATATATATATATATATATATATATATATATATATATATATATATATTTCTGTTGAAGAGCTGGCTTTAATTATTTCTTACTTGGACAAGTCAAGTTACGTAGTCCTTACTTTCAAAAACGCCTCAAGGGCTTCACAAGCGCACAGTTGACATCTATTGTAAGGTATCAAAAATGGTTTCGAAGTCCAAACAAATGGAGTTTTTGACCAACGTCCCGCAATAAATCTCGTTCGACTTAAGAGGTTCCACCAGAGACGACCAAAACCATAAAAGCGATGCATACGATTGTTGTAATCTTTCCCTCCCAGAATCATTCTGTGAACAAGATAGCGCTTTATTCCAGCTAGTGGGGTCAACAAGCTCCCTCAGGAGGCCGAATTTCCCCTCCCTGGCGTCTCCTTTACGAGCGCTGCACGGGTCCTGTCGTCTTCAAACTAATGAAAAGTGTCATGAAAGTGACATCAGGATTAATGAAGTATCCCGGGCTCGACGTCACGAAGGCGCTGTCTTCACGCTGCTTAACTGCCATGACAAATAACGCCTTTGAGTCAAGGTTAATAACGCCTATGGATAAACAGTGCAGTAAGTATACACTTTTCATCAATAATTTACAACAAAAAAAAAATGGTCATGAAAATTCACACGGTTCAACACGCTCCTCAACACTACACTGACAAATAAGGCCCGTAAAATAAAATAAAATAAACAAACAAACGCTTACGGAATCAAGGTCTTTACAAGAATGAGGCTGCTGGGAATTGAGGATGAATAGAAAATGCGCGTGGTGCAAAATGGCTGTCCGGAGAAGGCTGAAGGGAACCGCCGGCTGAGAAACGCTGAGCTGGCGGAGGACATTTCATAGATGGTTTTTGATTGGAGTGGAGACACGTCACAGGGTGTCTGCTGGACATCTGTGCGTGTGCAAGCGCGCCTGTGTGTGTGTGTGTGTGTGTGTCTTCTGGATGCGTGTGTTGCTTTGATGAAGAAAAGCATCTCATTTGTAGTCGATAGCGTCGTCTCGGGCTCCAATCGGTCAATTCTGTCTGACCTTCAGCGTTAGCGGTACAGTCGACCAATCACACCACTCGCGTGTATGCATGCGTGTGAGCGTGTGAGCATGCCTGCGCGGGAATGCCAAGCAACGTAGCAAAATAGAGCTTTTGCAATCCTGGTGTGGCGTTCGCAACAAACACGTCGCACGTCACGACTGATTATTTTGTGAATTGATTATTATTTGGGTGAATGATCGCACCATTGAAGACTTGGGAAGGAGATCAAAGAGCCACAGCGTCCGATTGTTTGAGGATTAAAATGTCTTACATTAACAACATCGCTGATTGCACATTTGCGGAAACGACACGTTTGTTGTCTGAACTGCTGACACGATTTAGAAGAACTTTTGAGCGGTTCCACATTAATATATCTGTCTAGAGTGATGAAAAATGTTTGAGATGAAAATCGTATTAACAATGTACAAATGAACAATTATTTCAGTTGAAGGATGTTTATTTTACAGTTTTCTTTTCTTGGCAACATGCAAAAAAAATTCAGTCATGTACAAAATTATCTTTCAAAAAAATACATTGAATTGTCGTTTTCCTGATGAAAATAATTTCAAATAGAATGAGACACTAATAAAAATATTTAAAAAGAAAAAAAATATATTTGATAGTGTAATATAAAAATATATATTTGAAAAATCATGGCGTGAAAATTTGTATTGAAAATATCTCAAATAATTCTCAAATAATTTGATATCAAAAGATAAATTTTTAGTCAGCAACTTTTAAAAAAAATGTAACATAAAATCAATCAATTTTTTTAAATTTTTTTAATTAGAACCTTTTTTGCTGCAATAAAGTCAAAGAAAAAAAAATAGGTTGCACCGGTATTTAATTTGTGCATTTGTATACCTTTCAATACTTTAATGATAAAAATATTAACCCTTTCAGGGACAACGGTCACTACAGTGGATAGCTTATCGTCTTATCAGGTTACAGGGTGCACGAAAGGGTTAAGCAGCACATACCTACATCAGAATATTCAAAACCTTACACAACCAAGCTCAGCAGGTGATGAGTAAGACGATTCGATACACAGACGAGCACAAACAAGGCAAATAATCTATTTTTAAACGAGCACAAATGTAAAATTTTTCACACGAATGCATCTCTTTCCTTCCGTGCGTTCACATGGCGAGGAACAATCTCGCAGCCGGTGCGGATAAGGTCTTTGCATCAACATCAGTCACGCAGTGTGTTTGCGATAAGGTTGTCGTATTGCGGTGACGGTTTGAAGAATATGAAAAGTTGCACGCATAAATGCTTCCTTGAATTACTTTGCCAAGCAAAAAAAATAAATACCCACGATAAACAACATTGTTGACTTTCACGAGATTGCAGAAAAAAAAGAAGAGGCTGATAAAAATGTTGATTGTTTGCGACATTAGAAAGACGATTTTCACTCAAAAAGATGGATTCTCTGCTGTGTGTCCACGTCACGTCCCCCCCTCATTTTTTTTCAATCATTTTTACTGTCGATGCAAATTTTTTTATCTGATTTTGTCATTTCCAACTCCCGCTTTTTAAGTCTGTCGATAATATATCCCTTTTTTGAATTAAAAATAATTGCCATGCATTACTTTTCTTCGATTCGTCAGAGTTACCATATGACGTACGTCAACACCGCTAATTTATTGCAAGGCCACCTGGTGAGTCCCAAATGAACCCTTCTCATTTTTTTTTTTTTTTTTTTTTTTTTTTTTTTTTTTTTGCTTACTTTTGGTCTGCAGTCACTCCGGAGGGAAATAAGCAGCTGTGCTCTTAACGCTAAGCAGCAAGTGTACCGTTTTTTTTTTCTTCCTCCCACCTTCTGGAAG